AAAAACATTAAAAACTAATTAATAACTCAAGTAATTTATTTTATCAATATGCAATAGAAAAGTATATTAAATTTAAGATTAATCATGATTAATTCACAGCTACTTGGAGATTAATCAGATTAAAATATTAGTCATTTGACAGCCCCAATTATTAATAATAAAACAAATGTGAATCTAACTTGTGTTAGTGAATGATCTGTTTTGAACTTGTGGAATGACGTTTTCCCTTCAACCACTAACCTCAGGTGAGGGGAAGGTGGTGGGCATCGTCGTGCCCAAAGGCTTTGTGACCAAAGCGTCCCCCAGGATGGAGATCATGTGATGGGCCATGAGTTTCTGCTGGTTCACTGTGCAGTGGTTTTCCAGGGACAGAATAACCGGGTATTCAGACGTCTGAGGAAYAGAGGAAACAGTCCGGACATTAAAAGCAACACTCAACATTCAAAGCCTCCTGTGTCCTTGTAGGTACTAATCTATCTCACATACTTTGAACGCATAGTCCTTGATGGATTTGATGACATCTTTGAACAGAACTTTTGACGTGAGGGTGTAGCCGTGGTAAATGACGGGCTCCCCGTTGGGTCCGTCCCAACAGTCCAGCTCCACACAGCGACAGCTCTTCATCAGCGCTCTGCAAGGAGACAAAACCTTTGTGACCATCACGTTTCTGAACAAGTTGGAATGATAACTGCCCCTTTTCTGCTGCAGGAACTCTGGGCAAACCGGTAGAGCCACGAGGAATTTTTAAAAGTCTCCATTGAGGCAAAACAACCGGACATGTGAGATGATGTCATCATTCTAGGACAGCTTTAAGASCACTAAACATAAATCACCTCAGATACTAAAACACTGACAACAACTAAGGGGTCTAGGAAGAGTGTTGTGTTGCTGCACAAATTTTAGATATTTTAAAGAACGAGGGTTTCTTAATCACGGATTATTAACGTTTTATAAATAGGGTATTTATTAGTTTACAAAGCACCAATCAACATGTATTAAATAGTTATAAAACACTGTTTGGCACACTATTGGGAAACTTAAAGAGCTGTAACTATCAAGTAAATGTAATAGCTTGCAGCTAGTTCTGCATTTTGGTGTCTAAATTAATGTATTTGCCAAAACAAACCATGTATCTAGAAATGTTCATGTTGCTTAAATTAAGATTAACTTATAGATAAGGGTTTCTAAATTACACAGAATACAGGTAAACAATGAGAAAGCAGGTAAATGTTGGCTCACAAGAAACAAGTCCTTTTAAACCAATGTGCTGTAACTGATTATTAATGGTTTATTGAATGTTTACAGCTAATTAATGCCTCTGGTAAGTTCTCAAACTTGAAATCGAGACCCTCTTCTGAGCTGTCAAAGACCACGTTTTGTGATGATCTCTGCAAACAAAAAAATTTTTTTTGAATAATAGTTGCTAATATTGCTATTCGGCCTTTATTATGAGGGATAAAATCAGACTTWTAACTGAAAGGTTTGACCTGAAAACAATAGTTGGCTGAGTTAAAGTAGAAGCCAGGCATGCAGGAAGCCATTCAGGTGCCAAACATGCAGTTGGAGCGAGCACTAACACGTTGGAGCGAGCAAAAAGGGGTGGCAAAAATAGCACATTACCAACCCAAGAACAGGTGGAGTGGACTGATGCGAGCCGACAGATTGATTACTGCTCGTAAAAACCATCCGGCTGGAATAAACCTTCAAAATCTATGTTTAAAACTTACTTTATATAAGCTTCTGTGCTGCTCGGCCCTTTGAGTTGGTCTTCCATCAGGTAGGTGTTGTGTGAGGAGGAGATGAAGTAATGGTTGAGGGGCTGACTCATGTCCTGATACACGTTTCTGTGAGMTGGCTTAAAGATGGATTCGTCCTCGTGTTGCAGGTACATCAGGAAGCCATCTTTGGTCAAGCACTTCTGCTTCTTTGCTTTTAGAAAGGAACCAAGGAGAAACACGCAGGATGAGTACACGGAGCAAACAGAAACCTCGTAGCCTCGTAGCATGATGGTGTGAGGTAAACTCTACCCGTTTCGTCCACTTCGTATTTCTCAATCAGCTCAAGGGTGCTCTTTGCCGTCGCCTGCTCCCTTTGCTCGTTCAGCAGGAAGTTCATGAAGTCCTTAATGCTCATCCTGCCATCCGTTTTAGCGTAATTTTTATAGATCACCTCTATCTCCTCGCGCTGCGTCAGCACCTCGTAGTATTGCTTTATCTCATCGCCCTCCAAGTAGTTTGCGTTTGACTTCTTGCATTTCTGTGCAAACACAGAAAAACATTCATTTAAACTGGGAAACGTTTTCCAACCTAACAGCAAATTGTTTACTTCGTCAAGGAACGGTGTGATCGCATCTTACCTTGAAAATTTCCTCTGCGTAGACGTCGCTGACCTCAACGTTGACCTGCCGCAGGAAGTGCTTCAACTCTTTTAGGGTCATCTTGTTGTCCTTGTTCTTGTCTGCTTTCCTCATGCAGTTGATGATCCAGCTGGCATTTAGATGTAAGGATTTATTTTACATAAAAAACTCTAGAGAATACAGTAATAACATCCCTTTAACAGGGCTGCTGTAAGGATACTGTTCACTCTTCTGCTTTTTGTCCATGTTTCGAACGTTGTTTATTATCTTCTCCAGGCTGGCGACCCACTGGTTTGCTTCCTCTTTAGAACTCGCCATCAAGTCGAGATTCTTCTTTTTTCCCTTAAATATGATGGAGAAGCACTGATCTTCGGCACTGGGGTCTGTGTACTTCTTCAGCCCCTCCGACTGACGGCCCTTACGYACAGATTCGATGTCATCGATGAGGACTGTTTGAGGGACAGCAGGTTTGTTAGTGTGACGTCATCACTAAGGGTATAAATCACCAGTTTTATCACAATACGGTTTTATATCAATGTGTTTGGATGACGATTSGATTTTTCTTGACGTCACAAAGTCTGTCATTACACGGTTTCCATTCAATGACAATATCAATCAATGTTTTCATTTTGCTTYGATGTAATTGAGTCATTAATTATTTAATCAATATTCTGTATCAATGTGAAAAGAAACAAAGAAGCCAAAGCTAATGTAARTATTTATTTGACTTTCCTGTCAATGACAACATACAAAATGATGAATGTTTTAGTGAAGATGCAAAAATCACCAGATTTAGTGTTGCTCCTTTGTAAAACATAACCAACCCTACATTTTAAACAGCGTTTTAGGGGTTAAAATGTTAAATCTGTGAGTGAAACTTCTCCTAAGATAATGATTACATCTGTGTCAAACACTGATGGCTTCTTTTGTATTTCAGGATTAACATAAGATAAAATCAGTCTCATACTTGGTTCCTGCCGTGTTGCTCTGAGTCACTGTTATCGTTCTTCCTCATTCATGCCAGTATCTTGTAGCAACAGATTACGCCTCTCAGTGATTACAGCAAACAATGTTTTCAGACACTATCAGCTCCGTAAGATACAAACAAGAAGGCTTTTGTTTTTGTGTCGTAGTTTGCTTCTGTGGCTTTCACTCACAAATCTTAAAAACACTCAGGCTTTTTATAAAACTGGAATCGCGGGAGAAGTTTTGTTAGCAAATCGCTAACATTTCTTCACATTCAGAGTATTTGTTTATATTTTTTAAATAGAAAAAGAGGATATCAAACAGGAATTTATATTTTAATTAAATGAAGTAGGTATAGGCGGCACGGTGGCTCAGTTGGTAGAGCTGATACCTCTCAGCAAGAAGGTCACCAGTTCAAATCCCGGTCCGGGGACCTTTCTGGGTAGAGTTTGCATGTTCTCTCCGTGCATGCGTGGGTTCTCTCCGGGTACTCCGGCTTCCTCCCACAGACCAAAAACATGACTGTTAGGTTAATTGATAACTAAATTGTCCCTAGGTGTGAGTGAGAGAGTGAATGGTTGTTTGTCTCGTTTGTCTCTATGTGTGGCCCTGTGATGGACTTGCGACCTGTCCAGGGTGTACCCTGCCCCTCGCACTGTGACTGCTGGATATGGGCACCAGTGACCCACGCGACCCTGAAAAGGAAGAAGCATGTACAGAAGATGGATGGATGGATGGATGGATGGAAGTAGGTATAATGTATAAAACATTGGTCCAAGCACACATCCCTGAGGAACCCCATGGTTAATTTTTGGTGTATTAGAAAGCTCCTTTATAGGAAACAGGAATCTATTAGATAAATATGACCTAACTACTTACAATGTTCATCAATGACATTTAGTTCATGCAATGACATTTAGTAAGATAACTAGAGAGTAGAATATATAGACTGGTCTTTAGGAACTAAATGAACAAAGAAAAAACTGGAGACCAAAATAGTTTGGAAGACAAAAAAAAAAGGTTTAAAAATCTTTTGTGAGCTGAAATCTGATTTCTCAGGACTCATTTTGTTGTGAGCTGCAGAAAACTAACATTGCTGCAGTCTTGTGTTTTCTTGCACGCAGACTCACGGGTTCATAACGGAGAGCACCTTCACCGACTGACTCAGACAACGTGTGGTAAAGCTCTTCCTCATTCACTGGGGCCCGACTCTTTTGTTGAGTGGCTTAACATTCAGAAAGGCATGCTCTGATGCACACAATGTAGTTACAATGAATGACAACAAACGTCCTTTTAACAAAACGTCAAAGACACCAAACTTATATAAAAGGCATTGAGCAGTAGCTGAAACCCTTTAGTTTTTTACTTTTTCACTTATGCTTTGTTTCTCCAACTCTTTTCTCCAAAGAGAACAAATAAAGATTCAGTTGTTAAAGGTTGAGTTTGTCGTACGGTGTGAACGTGTTACTTTTAGGTTAACATGTACGTTACGATCCAAAAGTGTGAGAAGGAAATATAAATGAGGAGTGGAAACCTCCCCAGGCTTACCTGATAGATAAATTTAAATAAACCAGATAAGTGGTTAATCAAATTCTGATGTGGTAAGGCTGCAAGTAATACAACTGTAATACCAGATTTCTTTATCACCTCAACAATCCCCAAATGTTGCAAAGACTAACTGAGGTTGTGTATTTATTTACAGAGGCTTATCTTATCTTTGCTGTGGAAGGTTAAGACTCTTGGCATCTAACATTTTATAACTTAAATATGAGTGAAATAAAAACAAATAAATAAAAAATAAATAATATAACATTTAACAATACTGAAATAACAAATACAAAAATTTATTACATATAAAATATGGTTGAGAAAGAATTTGCGGTTTGTCGTTTGACTGACTTCGAACAGTATTTTTAAAAACACAAACTTGATCTAGAAATGATTTTATCCTGAAAGGGGTCAACTGGAAGTATCACAAGTTAGACTGAGCTATAACTGGTTTCCCACAGATGATCCCACCCACCTTCATCAGTCCCACCAGTCTTCAACTGGAAGGAGATGAAAACTGTGACACGGGCTGAGTGACAGTCGTCTTAGCGGTTAGCATTAGCTTCCACAAATTTTTTTATGGGTTTAGCAGTTTAGTGTTAGCAGAGCTGAGATTCTTGTTGAGCAGATTAWTGGTTAGTGAAGGGACTACAAGGTGAATAGATTCAAATAAATTCAACAGGTTGATTGTGTGAAAGTGAGATCATTTTTTCTTMCGTACATTTTTCGGCACATTTCTCATTCTGCGATTTTTTTTGCTATTTCAACAGTTCATATTACCAAAACGTTCAGCTCATTTATGACGATCCTGCTGTGACTTTTGGTTGTTSAGCTATTTTTACTTTTATTAGCCATTTCACTTTTTTACCATTGAAAATAAATGAAGCTGTTTTCAACATCCTTAAAATCCTTTAAAATGATACTACATTTTTACAGAACCTTACACATTTTGTTCTGATTTTGCTAATTTTAAGTACTTTGTGCTATTTTTAGCCACATGTATTTGCTAATTTTAGCCTTTTTTGCTATTTCTGATATAATTCTTCTGCTTTCTGCTATTTTTCCTGTTTTTTTGTGCTTCTTATTGCTAATTTGAACTATTGATGCATTTTACAGTTGCTTTCTTCTATATTCAGCTATTTTAGCTTATAGCTTATAGCTTTTTCTTTTATTTCAAATACATTTTTTGCTTCTTTTTCCCCTATATCTGCAAAGTTAAGCAATTTCTTCTTTCAGCTTTTCAAATTGAACTCACATTAACACTAATGCAATTTGTCTGGTTGTTTGTTGTTTTCTGAGCTTCTTCTCGAGCAAAAACAGGTCACGGTATCATGACCTCACAGTGGTCTTCCCAAAAGCAGTAAAGACCTAAGATTACATGCGTCCTAAAGATTGTTAGTTTTTAAAAACATATATAACAAATTATTTTACAGTAAGAAATTTGTCCTGTTAATACATGTTAATCAACAGAACAAATTTTAAGCAATGAGTGGTGTTCAAATAAACACACAAACCCCTCAAATTTAAGCTTCGTTTTAAATAAAAAATGTTAAAGGGAGATAATTCTCCTTGAATATAAAATAACACAATATTAAACAGTGGTCTGTGCGGATACAGTAAGTGTGTAAAAAGAACGTAAATACCACTTTGTGGTTTTTAGACTGACAGATTTCCCTTTTGGTACAGCTCTAACATCAGCTTCAAAAAGTAGTTCACAACAAACCGATGCTCCTCCCACTGAGCACATTTGAGCAGCGTGGTAGTTGTGGTTTGCTCTTGAGCGCAGGAAACAAACACGGCAGACAGCAACTTTCGGCAAGAAATGAAAAAGAAAAAAAAACTGTGCACGTCTCTGAAAAAGCTCATCTGTGTTTGTTCACAGGTCAGACTCCGGGTCAGAGGTTACCAGCTCTGCTAGCGTTAGCCGCCGCCGCCGCCGCCGGGACGCGAGGGGAAACCTGAGCCGCCCAGGACCCAGAGGAGGATGCATGTCCACAGCCTCGCTGCAGATCGCTCCAACCAGAAATCAAAAGGAAAATAATCTCTGTGTCAGGCACAAACATTCAGTCAGGATGTGCGCTAACATTTTCCAGTCCACGCCACAGAATGTGTGTTTCCATCAYGCTGGGAGACCTGAGCTGATGCAATAACAGAGAAGAGGGGCTAAACAGTCCGAGAGAGATACATCAAAGTTACACCAAATAATTCAYATGTAAAGAATTAATTTTTGTATCTCGTCCCATAAACGAATAGAATAGAGAATAGGAATAGTTTATTTTTTAAATAAAAACCTCCATTTCAWACTAGTTTAAARGAACACTGTACTGTAATTCAAGGAATAAGTTTATGAAAATAAGTCTWTTTATTTATTTTTTATTGTCATACCAGCTTTGGTTCGTGGTACGAAATTCGGACTCAGGTCCCAGATTRAGAATCCACAAAATAAAATAATAATATGCATGTGTAAATAATTTAAAAGAGTAGAAATGAGCTGAATTAGGTGCAGCTTGAGTTCAGCAGTGATGATGATATTAAAACTTCCAGAATAATTTTTGTGTTTAAAAATATGAAAAGTTAATTGAAAAMAAAAAGATATTAGGTAGCATGTATGGATGTAAACTGTTGTTCAAACTGTTGTTCAAACGGTGGACAGGTGCTGCTTTAGTTTCAAAGTTTGAGTCTGTAAAATACCTGCATTATTATTTTTCTTCCCTCTGCGTCCTTTCATTTCATTTATAATTTGTTTTGTTTGTTATATGTACATAGATTGTTCTTTTTTTAATGAATGAATAATAATAAAATAAACAAGAACAACACTTACAGGTCTGGTCTTGTTTTAAGGTTTTCTTCGACTCCTGCCATATGGTCTGGCAGTCTTCCTGCAGCTTATAGACGCGACTCTTTTGCCACGAGTCCGAGCGAACCTTGTGCAGCTTCCCWCCGGTCAGCAGGAACTGAAGATCTGCGTCTCCTTCCAGACCTGGGTTTGAGAGGTTACAAACAGGTTAAATAAACCAATAGAAGCGTAGACTCATGAGCAATAGGGCTGTGTATTGGCAAGAATTTGGCGATACGATACATATCATGACAGAGGGGTCACGATACGATATATCCTGATATATTGCGATACTATAAGCAAGGCGATATATTGCGATTTTTTTGTCCAAAAATTCTATTAAATAAAAACCTCTCACTGGAAAAAAATGAAAAACCAAAATTCATTGTCTCAGAAAATTCTAACATTACACAGACATACTTTTGATACATTTAGATGTGTTCTGCTTTGTATATATTTTATTTTATTTGTTTCATATTTCATCCATGTTTTCAATTATCAGACTAAATTTTGCCAATAAATTGTTTTAAAATGTATTGTTTTACAGCTTTTAGTTTTTAATGTTAATTTACAATAAGGTCACCCAACACTAAAAAATAGCCTCTATCTCAAAAGGTAGAGGAGCCAAATGGCTGGCTCACTGCTGCCAACTAGTGGTCAGAGGCTGAACTACAACATAAAAATGAACGGCTGGCAGGAAAGTTGACATTTTAAACCTTAATAAAAAATCGATAAAGGGCTTTAGAATATCGATACAGTATCAGAAAATGAAATATTGCGATATTTCAGTGTATCGATATTTTCTTACACCCCTAATGAGCAACGGATGAGGAAACAAACAAAGTTCAAGCAAATTWAGCTCTTAAATGTTCAAAGTCTTCCCAAGGCCTTTTGTTTTTAACACTCGGTCACAGTCTTTGTTTTTTGGTTGTTTTAGTTTGTTTCTTTTCATTTCTTTCCCACCAGCCACCTCTCCAAGCACTTGTTTCACTGCCACAGCTGCAGCCACTCTTCCCATCACACCGTCCTTATATCTCATCAGTGGGGCATTCCTTCGTGCCCTCTGTGCCTCCTCTCCTCGGTGCTCTGGAGGTTTCGCTGCCACAACAGCCCTGCTCATCTGCATCCCTGGGTCCAAACCTCCTGAACCAGCCACACGTTACGACAGCTCAGCTTTGCAGCGAGTTAACGTCTGAGTGAAGCAACAGGCTTGATTATAGCTTTATGGGAGAGGCGTGACATCAACTGAGAGAATGATTCATAAGTCGGTTATTAAATATGAAGATTTCTACAGCACAGAATGAGAGTTGGTATGGATTTTATAAGCTATAACTGTTTTCAGGGACGGCACACTGACAGCTAGAACGCTCTGCGATTTTTAGCAAGATTACGACGTGCCACACATTTTATTTTTCCCAAACAATTTCCCCACAATCCCACAGAGGCTGTTTACGAGCCTCCTCGTTTTCTRGAGGAGGATTTAGCACGACACAGACTCTTCTCTTCTCAGCACACTTTTTTTTCACTTAGTTTAAATCGCTGCAAAGTAGAAACTTGTTGCCTTCTGGATGAACGGAGATTCGTGTTTTTTAGGCCTTTCTCTGCTAAATGGTAAAAAATAAAAGCAGGCACTAATGTTTCTTCTGCGTAACTCAATCTGAGCTCACTATTCAGTTTCAGACAAAAGGCTGCATTTTCAGCCACAGCCACTGGCAAGTCGAGGCAGGAGGTTTCTGGGAATTAAGGTGAAACTAATAGCTGCCTTTCAGGAATGACATATAAGAAGGGATTTGTTTTTGTATTTGACTGAGACACAACTTTTATGTTTTATTATGGTCACATTTTAAGCTATAAAAAACATATTTTGTTTTTAATTAACGCAAATAAAATGGTACCATGCAGGTTTAATCGATAACTCGCTCTTGATAAACATATGTGTAAACTTAAATCTTTATTTGTTTACATTTGATTAAACAAATCGTTCAGTTAGAGGTTTTGTGGAAAGTTTTAGCAGTTAATAGCTATGAGCTTGTGAGTGAGACAGAATGAGCACAAATCAAAGTTTTCTAAAACAAATTTTAATTTCATTTGAAACTGGACTTTTTTTCCTCTGATAGAAATCCCTTCGTATAATGTTTAGCATTATTGTGAAGCTTTCGCGTTTTTCATTTAAATCTCCCCAACAAACGGTCTCGTTTTAAAGCTTTTTAAATGGAAAATGTGAAAATAAGATTGTTGTTTTCCTTTTGGTTGCTTCCTTTTACCTCGACCCTGAGCAGCCTCTGAGAAAGGATTTCGATCTGTTAGATCTGAAAATAATGATAACTCAAAACTGAAAAAAAAAAATCCTCGTGATTTTGCAGGTAAGATATTAACTGTTCATAACATATCCGCAGAGCCCCATTAAAAAAAAAAATCTGAACTGTCGCTGTGTTAAACTGAAGAGGATCAGGAGTTTTAAGTAAAATCTTAGAATTCAAATGTTTTAAAAGTACTAAACGTTGTACTAGACATGAAAGGTCAAGTTTTCCCACACAGATTACAATCAGATGGTTGATTTTATTCCTTAYATCTTGTAAAAGTCACGTCTTCATTTTCCGCCTTCTTCTGTTTAAGATGACTAAACAAAACCATCCTGATGTGTTTTTTTGTTTCTTCCTCTGAAAAAGACAGAAACTCCATCTTGTCTTGGAGGCAGAGAGGAGAACGACCTGTGGTCACTCCACAACACAAACAGCTGACCTGTCATTACGCGCCATATGATCGACTTATTTCCCCACTTAATGACGTGCGCGTGCCCCTCGGCTTCTGTTGGCAAAACATTCGAAGCGCGCGCGTGCGCGTGCCCCTGCCTTTGAAGTGGACTCACCCAGGCGTTTTCCATTCTCGTGCGCTACTTTCCTCAGGTTTTCCTGGAAAACCTGCTCCTCCGATTTGGTCCGCTTTGGTCGCGTTTTTAGACAGGACATGACGGACTGTAGTTTGTGTAAACAAAAACAAAAACAAAAAATCCGCTCGGTGTTTTCATTTGGGCCGAGAGGAGCAGGGACCACAGGGCATGGCAGRGACCGATAAGTTCCCCCCCTCTCACGGGGCGGGTCTACTGTCGTCTCGCTGCAGCCACACGACTGTTTACCTTAGAAGTAACACCCGAGTCATAGATTTTTAGCCTCAGATCTACTTTCCTTACTTTACTTTAGGAAGCTTTTAACAGAGGAGACTGACTCTTTTATGAGTTCAGAGTGTTAAACGTGTGTAACTCTAAAAATAATTTTGATTTGTTTTTAAAAAGAATAGTTTCGACATAATAGTTCTGTTTTGCTTTTTTATATTTAAAACTTAAAATTGTGTTGCTCAATCGTCACGGCTCTKGAGAAACAGCACCATCTAGTGGTCAGAACGAGACATGACAACTCAATTCAACTTTATTATATGCACAGTTAGGAAACAATGAAATTCTTACTTTGCCATCCCCCAATGGATGTTTGCTTAGAAAAAGACACAGTGTAAAATAATCAAAACAGTTCACACATAGAAGCAATTCACCCGCAATAAAAACAATTCACACAAATCATGAAGGAGCAGATAAGAATAGTGTTTTTAACACTAGGATTCAATTCCATAAGTAAAATATGGAATGTAATAACCAAAAATATTGAACATTAACTTCTTCAAAATATACACAGACTATTTACACTGTGCAATTATTTATCAATAATGGTCAGATGTGTTGCAGCCAGAGAGTGTGTTTGCATGTACAAATTAATAAAGGTTGCAGGCAGGTGAACTACTGTCATGTGTGTGTGTGTGTCATAGACTTTGGGGGGGATGACTCCAGACTGGTTATTTATCATGTTATTCACCTGCCTGCAAACACAGATGCTGATATTCACACTTTTATCAATTTGTACATGCGTTACATTCCATATTTTACTTATGGAATTGAATCCTTGTGTTAAAAACACTATTCTATTCTACTCCTCCATGCTTTGTGTGAATTGTTTTTACTGTGGGTGAACTGCTTCTACTATGTGTGAACTGTTTTGATTGTTTACACTGAGACTTTTTCTATGCAAACATCCAGTGGGGACGGAAAAGTGAGAATTTCATTGTTTCCTTACTGTGYGTATCGAAAGAAATAATCCACAAAAACACAAATTTCCTTACTTTATGTGCTAAGTGACAGTGATGTTTTGATGCACACTGTCCCTTTATGTAAATAAACTAGAAGAAAATTACGTTTTATCTTTTTAAAAACGGTTTGCAGGTTCTTACTGAACAACACGCCTCCTGGTTGTGTTTTTATGAATAAAAACTGCTAACACAGGAGGGAAAACGTAAAGAGAGTTTATGAAAATGCTCTCTACATTTGTAAATATTTCAGGAACTAACCTCTCTTTTTTCAAAATGCACACAGAATTGTTTTATCTCAGAAATCCTCAGACATGTCCCTTAATCCTGATAACGAGGCAGTAAATTTATTTTTATCAACTCACCCAGTTTCCTAGCCATGTTAGTTGTTTCCATTCTGGCCCCCAGTCAGTCGGTCACCATGCACCGTGTCAGAAGTCCTCTTCTCCTCCTTCAGTTGGCTGAACTTTGTGAGTGGAACTGTCCCAGCTGGATAACTCCTCTGTGTGTCCCAGGGAAGGACAGAAATCCAGCCCTATCCCCCCCACTCTGAGCCAACCCACTCAGCGCATACTAACCCTGGGCTCTTCTACGCTCCGAGTCCACACCCACTGGAGCACCGGTCTGACAAGTCCACCACTGTGTTCTGATCGCTCTCACGGTTAAATTCTTCCCTGCTGATGGAAGCTACGCCTTTGGAAGGAATTTCATCAGCATGACCTTAAAAAAAAAACAACAACAACAAAAACCTGTTCAACACAATGCAGTTGGAATTAAATACGTTATAAAGTTGCAGTGATGTTTTAGTGAGTTTACATCAGCTGAATGAGCATGTAGGAATGCATTGATTTCTTTGTGGGGTGGTGCTGCTGCAGGCTGGTACAGACCTGTCTTTCTGGATGTTTTTGCACACCTTTTCTCTGTCTCGTTGCACTGTTACAACATATCGTTACTATGACCAAGTATTTGGAAACTTTTAGCACACTTGAATGACAAAAACCGAAAGAAGCAAACAAGGCAGAGGGTTCAGAAAGAAGCCCGCCTCTCATCTCTGAACATGAACTGTGTTGTTCTCTGTTATTACTGAATTTGCCCTATTTTTTTTTTTTTTTTGAAAACATTTGCTGTGGGTTTTGAGAAAAGAATAAAAAAATATCTGGCAAACTGAAGCAGCACAAACAAGTGATTCTTTGAGAAATCCCACATGAAAACCACATGAGACGATCAACACAATCAGAGATGTTGTTATGGATGCCTCTGGAGGAATTTTGGCCTTTTGCAACAAATGCTGCAGACTTTAATCTGGATTTAGAACTGCTCTATTTCTTTAAGCCAGACCCAATCTTATTGCATGATGCTCTGAAAAACACTTTGCATGACTCAAAAAAAATGCCAGTCATTCTTTCTCTGAGCTTTAAAGAAAACAAAAGTCACTGTGGTCTTAGGAATAATCGTACTTAAGTCACGTGAATCACTGACCCGTTGGTGGATTCTGTGGTTTTTTGGGGATGGCTGCCACCCAGGAGTTGTTTGCCTACCTTGACCAACACGGCAGGTGTTTTGGTTACATGTTTTCAAGGTGTGCATAGATGTGAGTCAAGGCTGCGTTGCAGGTGTTGGATAATTGATACCTGACGCCACCGCCTCTGCTTTGTGTTGGTTCATCCCCTCAAACGTGGCTCGCCTCCTCTCTCAGTTCATCTGGTTTTTCTGTCCACCTTGTCTTCAAAAGCAGCATCCCTGAAGCAAATAAATACATCAAATCAGGACTTGTGCTTAACGCTATCTGACAGCACGAGTCTTAAACATCTTCAAACTTCACATCTCTTACAAGTCTTCCTGTAAACGTTCAGATTAAACTAACGAGATCAGCAGATGGAATGTCCTGTAACATTTAAATTAAATATTTTGCTGGAATTAAATAAAGATCTCAAGACAGTTTCAAGGAGGGACTCATAATCAAATTTTAGTCTTTGTATTTATGCCAACTCTAAAAACAAAACATGTGTTATAATTCTAAAATAAAAAAACTTCTATTTTATTAAATAGTTTAAAGTACAAAGGATCATTAAGTTTAGTTTTAATAG